AATTTAAGAAGGGGGTTAGGTATGTTTTTAATATTTTGGTCAATCTAAATGCATGAACATTCCCGAGAGAAGTAAACAGTATTCCATCTAGCAACTGATTACCAATCTTTGAAGTATATGGAGATGGTGAGCCGGCAATTTTGAAACTATTGATAAACTTTCGCCTTCCCAATATTAATGTACACAGCGTTCGATAGAGCATTTCTTTTCATTCGCACTATAGTGACGTTATACCAACTTATGCCTCTAAACCTTAAGAATTCGTTTTCGGAAAATCCAGTTGAAATGAGAATTTGACGCTTGTCTTATATAAACAACATACATGCTTTCTTTAGACAGTCGAGACCTTAAGCAATGACAACGGCGACCCCGAAGACAACGCATAGTAAAATATGAATTTGCAATTGGGCATGTAGATCTGCTCAGTGCGCCTATTCGTCTCAGAACTTACTCAAGCCGAATGCTTACCGCTGGCGGTCCAAATGAAAATGTGAAGAAACGAGTTTATAAATTACCCTCGGATTTCGCAATTGTCTAGATCTGTTCAGTGCGCCTTCTGGTCTCAGAACTTCCTCAAGCTAAATGAGTAACGCCAGCATTTAAATCCAAATGAAAATACAAAAAAAAAAAAAAAAAAAAATAGCAGCTGTACGTTGTTCGTGTTCTCCAAAATACGCAGAACTTAGTCATTTTACGTTGTTGTTTTGCAGAGGACAGCAAAGGAGTGTACAAAGATTTATAACGGACGTGCAAAGCCATTGTTCTGCTCATTAAACTTTTTGTTTGGCGACGTTCTCGTTGCCGTTGCAGTCGTGGTTTGCTTAAGCTCTGTAGTGAAACATGCAAACAACCCAAGATACATGTATATACAAGATTCAGGATTTAATTTGAAACTTTTTAAAATACCTTTGCTGTTATTAAGGGAATTGTCTCGCACAGTTGTCGTTCTGTTCCAATACCTGAAAAACAGAATTCGAGGAAAGACACTAATTTCAAATGATATATCTATATATGTGTGTAACTTCGGTAGCCGAGTTTCATTACCTTTGTTCAGTTTGCCAGAGTCTTTATCCAGAAGTCTGACGATATGTACCAGGCAAAACTGCAGCAAAATTTGACGAGAACGCGGTCTACTGAGGCTATTTAATAGGCGTTAAATGATACTTCTTCCGGATTCTTGTCACCTCGGCTTTTCCCCTGAGTTGAAACGTGACTGAATCATTAAACGTGTCAGGTGAGGAGCCATCCTTTTTGTCTACCACATGTACACTTTGTTACACCTTCCTGAAAATTAGACTAGCTTACACTGTACCTCCTCAATGAATGAAATAAGAATTATTGTGTTTACGCTTGTGCTTGCGTCGCTAGTTAAAACCAGGCTTTATGCGCTAGTGGGGACGGCTGTCACATAAGCATAAGCATAAGCATAAGCACAAGCCTTCTGCTTCTGCTTCTGCTTGTGCTTTTGCTGTTATGTCCAGTGAGGACATGGTCGGCATAAGCATAAAGTGCTCGCTGATTGGCTAAAAGCCTTTCGCTTATACTTATGCTTTATACCAACCATATCCTCACCGGACATAACAGCAACATAAGCATAAACATAAGAAGAACGCAAGGTTTTGATATCCTTATGCTTATGCTTATGTTCGGCCTTCACCACTAGCGGGTAAGCTTCTTTCTTGCTTAAGCTTACGCTCTTGCTTGCGTCGCAAGTGAGGACCAGGCTTAAGTTGATTCATTAGGATTGCATTGCGCATCTCTACTGCGCACGATTTTCGCGTCATTAGCGCGCGCACACGAGCGCGTGCGCGTATAAAAGGTGAAAGATTTCCCTCAAACTAAGCTCGGTAGCGAAATAAATGCTCTTTTTCTCTTAAACGAGCACGGTGGCCCCCAATTTTTATTTCATAATTTCAATGAGAACAATATCCTCAATAACTGAGAAGAAAATTAGCAGAAATCTATGGGTAATTTTTTGGCAAATGAAATAAAATAACTACAACAGAGGGAGACATAACGGGCAAAACAGTGCATGTCCAAATTATGTTTCCTTTAAAGGATGAAAAAATGTACGGTATTTGTAAACATTTTTTCTGGGACGTAGATGAATAAACAATAAAAGAAATTTAAACTCTGTGTGACCTAACACGCTGCGTTGAAAAATAATCGAGTTTATTTGTTGCGCACGGAGATTACCAAAAGTCACCTAAATAACCGTCAGCATTGTGGCGTGAAAACAAGCACGGTGACTCCCCTCTTTTTACCACGTTTTTAATATATCCTTGTCCTGTAACAACAGCATACCAAGTTTCATCGGAAATCCACCGCGAGTTCTTTTACTACGGAATCACCTTGAGTACACCTGACTCCAAACATACTTTTGGCAACCGCGTTATTCCGCCCACAAGGTGGAAGGTGCCGGTGCGCCTGGCAAAATGTCAGAGCTGATGGGTTTACTACAGCTTTTGATTGTGCGCGTAGGAGACCAAAGAGTTAAGGGCAGAAAATACGTGCAGGCTTGTTGAATGAATTCATAATTTTTCATCTTTAGTGATCAAATTTAACAGTTTTATTCATAGATGAGGTATATCAGTTTTGAGCCAATCTTAATTCAGGAAGTATATAGGGACCTCTTGCAACTCTTGCAAGGTCTGAATATAAAAGATAAAGAAGTTAAAAATGAAGCAAACGCAGATAAAAGAGAGACGATAGAGAAGATATAGGTGCTATTATCAATTTAACACCAGGTTTCAGAGGAGTATATGGATTTACTATTTTGGTAAATTATATTCCGTACTTGCTGCATCAGCACGTCTAGTGCAATACTAATCATCCACTCGACATTTCAACAACAACAACAACAACAACAACAACAACAACAACAACAACAAAACCGAGGAAAACTACATAAACACAATATGCATATATCACTACACCTGAGTATCAAACGAACGATATCAGAAATGTTACAGAAAATTCGTTTAAGATTGATTATTATACCAATTAAAGCCAAGAAATGCATTTACAAGCCGGAAAACGTCCAAAATCTTAAAGACTTGGGGTGTTCAAGTTTAATAATTATTCACGCTAAAGCGTAATTTGAATATTATTTTTGCTGGCGGCTTTGCAGTCCCTTTTTTCGGCCGCGGCTTAACCAGTCTTTTACCAATGACCTTAAAAGAAATTCAGCCAAGCATTTCACCAAACCCAATAAACTGAACAAACAAAACGAGGAAGTCTCCATACTTTCTAAACGCAATATGCATGACAACATACGATCATCAAAAGCTGTCAAACATAGCGAATCCTGTCCGCTTTCAAAGCATAAGCTTAAAATGGTTTTCCTTCCTCCAACCGTAAACAGAAGAAAAAATTATAGCAGTCTACGAAGCGGCTGTCCCTACTAACACAAAAAAAACTTCAAACTCGCCTAGCAGTATTTACAAACACCGTTTTATTACTTTTAGACGTAAGGTTATCGATATACGACGAAAAATGACAGAAACCTAAGCTTATTTGTTTACAATATGCAAATTTCTATGCAACAACGACTCTGGTTTGCTTGTTTGAAATTTATCAAATTTCTCACAGCATGGTTCCAAATCAGATAATCAGTGAGGCTTTAAAACTCCTATCGAAGATATCAGCTTAATTTATAAGCTTATCTCGCCGAAGCAACTAAATAATTTTTATGGAAAACGCGAAAGTGTCTGCGTACAAAGTCGCTGAACACAATTCGGCAGTTCACTTCAGTGTGTATCCTATAGGCAGAAACTTCCAGCAAAAGTTGCGAAGACTGAACCGATCTTTTCGATAGATCAAAGTATCAACCACTTTTTTCCTCTGTGTTTACCGTGTGACTTTTCTTGCACGGCTGCACATCTCGACGCGCGAAGTTCTGCAGTCTTCTGAGCCAATTTGTCGGGTATTTCACCTCCTGTCTAAAGCCCTCGTTCGCTCTGCTTCACGTTATTGTTCGGTATTATTTCATCTCCTTTCTCTAGCCGGCTGACTCGCGATAATTCACGGCATTGTTCAGTACTGTTTCGCCTCACTTCCTTAGCCCTGGCCCGCTCTCTTTCGCGATGTTCATGAGTTCTTCGCTACTTCTTTGACTCCTTTGCCTGTTCATTCTTGCTCTCTGGCGTTTTCTTTTACTTTCTGCTTCAGTTAAACTCTATCTTGAAAACGTTAGATGAACCTCCGCTATCATTTGTTGACATAACAAATAGAAATGACTTTCTTTTTTAAATCCCGCCAAGAAAAGATGGCATTCTTGAGCTTCCCCGTTCGCGTTACTTTGAGACACCCGTCCCCCTCCCCCAGAGTCTGTACGGACGGACGTTCGTTTGTACGGTGACGTCATAACCAAATTTCTCGGCTTGATGGTTTACCAATTTTGCTTACCCATAGTGCTTCGCTGGCGCGCTTCGCGTACTGAAGCTCCGGTATTAAATTTGATTAATAAAAGTAGAAAAGTGTGAATTTATTCCGCTAGCTGCACGTATCTTATGTCCTCCTACGCACGCGTGCACGGGAAAGCTGGCTGCATCAACCATCCTCTCTAAGAATCTGCTCAGCAAACACCTTGGTTTACCTTGATGAGTGGAATAAGTCGTGAACAAAACTGAAGAAAACGTCATTTGCAAAATTTGAAACACGATGCATGGCAAATGTTATACAACGCTAAACGGTAAAGAATATTGTTTGATGCTTAGCCTTGTACGTATATCGAGTTATGGATGCACGCAGGAAGTTTGCAGAGCACGAAAGAAGCGTAAGAGTTGCTCGAGACGTTAGCTTCTTCGAATTAATTATAATGAAAATATAAGCAAACAAAGTCAAAAATACTCGATGAAAATGTAGACAAACAAAGTCAAAATACTAAACATCTCAGCTTGGCAAAAGTCAAAGGCTCGAAGTAGAGTTTGGATTGTTCAGAACAATCTTCACCTTGCTGAAACTTTAACAAAAGGAAATTCCACTAAACTCGACGGAAA